CTTTCCCCATTACTCCTTGGCACATTACGGTGTCAGCCCACAACAAAGTCAGCCTTAATCTGATTTAATTGTCGATAAGGGTTATCACTTCATAGAAATAATACATATATTATACTTGAAATTAAATGCTTATATAGCACGAACGACAAAATAAACTTGGAAGTTCCGCTTATTTCGAAAAACGGAATAGTGAGGTTGAACCGCAATTATTTAGATTGCTATTAAATAGAAATGCTGTCAAATTTGACATACATTTAAATTTTTTTTTAAGCAAAAAGAAAGAATGTATTGTATGATGTCCCAAAGATTTTCGTCGTGAAAGAGTATTTCAGAACAATTATCTTCGCTAAAATTGTATAACATGTATTATGCCAAAACTTCTACGTACAAATACTTCTCTCGAAAAAAAAATACTTGTGCCAAATACAGCTAACAAACCAATTTTAATTAGTGCAGTCAAATATTGAATTTATGGTGGAGATGACGGACATATAATGACAATGAATGAAAGCGAGAACTGTTCCAAGTCGTTACATTTTCGGTGTATTACCATGTCACCTCATCTTGTACTTATCTTTTGTAGACCTCGCGTACTGCACCTCAGAATTTGCTTTTCTGCTGTTATTGCATAAGTGGTCTAAAGCACTGTCCGTTATGGATCACTGCCATCTTACTTCTGTCTGCGTGAGTTCGAGTCTAAGATTCGGCGAATGTGGATATGTGAGAAAGTTTGCCAATAGCTTCTCGTGGGTCGGTGATTCTTTCCTCGGATTTCCAGGTTTCTTCCTCCACCATTAATACTGGCTGCCATGTATAGCCTATCGTGTGCTGAAAAATGGCGTTAATTCCCAGAACAACAAAGCTATAAGAACATTCAAGGTCGCTTAATACAAAGTGCACGGAATTGTATTGGAAATTTGGAAGTAATTTTCAGAACTAAGGATTGCTCAATCGAGAGTGCCCAGGACCAAGAGGGTGCTTTCCAGTCAATCGGCTTCGATAAATATTTCCTACTTTCGGTTAGCCTATATTTTCGCGAAAGGGGGGAGGATGGTCATGAAATTTGTACGAATATCACGTATTGCAAGAGAATATTACATGTCACATTAAACAAATACTTGGTCAGCGAACATGAAAATAAAAAGTCATTACACTGCTTATTTTTTGTACTGGTTCCCACGGGTCCTGGAATCCTGGAAAAGTTTTGAAATTTAAAAAAAAAAAATAAGGGCCTCGAAATGTCATGAGATTTCTTAAAACGTTGCGTAGTTTTGAAAAAGTGGAATTTCTGACGATGTTTTTTTTTTTAAAAGTGAGCATGTTGGCTAATTTAACAGTGCAGAGCACTAATTCAAAAAAGTTGTTTCGAAAATAACACAATTAAAATCAACATTGTGATTGTTGAGTTTTATGAAATAGCCATGGAAAAATCATGGAATTTGTTTTTTGATAAGTCTGAAGAAATCCTGTATGTATCGCTGTCTCTTCCAAAGATGTAATGATTCTCTTCCATATCACCTGTTCTTTTGAAGAAGAGAACACTGACTAAAAACGCTAGAGGAAAGTTTAAAATGAAATACAAAATAAAAGATTTAAAGATGAGTAAAATCGACGAGAATAAAATGTTATTTCTAAGGAGGATATTAATAGATAAAAGAGAACAATCAACAAATAATAATGTGTTTGCATGGAAAACTAATAAATAGATACTCAATGTTAATAAGCTAGTTAAATTCACCCCAATCAGCCATTTTTCGATTTTGTAAACAGCAAAGAATTTATCATTCATTAATGAACAAAGCACAACTACAAACTATTACATGAGATAACTGGCAAAATTTAGCTAAAAAGACTCAAAAAGATGAATGAAAAAGAAATTAAAAATGTTATATCAAATATTCCCAAATGCTAGAGCTGCTATAATGTCTAAATCATTTTGAGATGCTATATTTCAGAATGATGTAAGTGATTCATCAAAATGAAAAGAAAGACATGCATCACGGTAAATGATATGATGTGGTGCTCAAGGCAGCATGTGGGGCCCAAGGCAGCAAAGAATGAGTGCAGGTCCTCAAGCAAAATAATTGCATTGTCAAGAAGTGCTGGGCCCAAGATAGTTGTCTTGTTTGACTTGCCCTAGGGCCAGGCCTGTATTCTTCACTGTATTTGTGTCAATCAGTCAGGTAGTACCTCTCTCTCTGTACTGAGTGATAATTTAAAAATATTCAAACATTAATTTCAAATAGACTATTATGAAAGCGCACATGTAATTTTAAAGACTTGCCTCTGAAAAATTGACAAAGATCACAACAACAGAAATCGAAGAACATGCAAATCAACTTATATATTCATCTTATATTACCTACAAAAAGTATTAAAACATCAAGAACACTAATTGATAATGTTTATAGTAACAAGTCAGGGAATATCATTTAAGCACAGGTCCTTTATTTCTTAGTAAGTCACAATTATCTTATGCAAAGTAAATAGCAAGGACATATGTGATGCCAAGGTTATCTCCTATAGATGTTTTTGCAAAATTCAAACATTTTATCTGATTAGCAAACTCTCACCTCTTTTGTGTAGAAAATATAGAAGACCCTGCTGGAACCCCTGAAACCTGGTATGCCATTATGAACTCTGTTTTAGATCAACATGTTCCTATAAAAACAAAATGAGACACCCTCTAACTTGCATGGCTCACAGCAAAAATCTTTTTTAACAGCTAGAATAGAGACTATTTCATAAAATCAAGGATTGGCACAAACAAAATATGGAAAATTTGAATGATATTACTCTAGATAGAAACAGTAAAATACTGACTAAACAAATAATTGATTTGACAGTAGTTGATGATATTCACTTCAATGAGCACTTCACTAATGTAACAAATGAAACTGACAACATTGCAAAATTCTATGTAAAAAATAAAAACTTACAGGATTTTATTGTCAAAATTTCCTGAACATGTACAATTCACTATTTCATTTATGTCACATGTAGATGTGGTAAGTGAACTAAAAAGAATTAAAGAATTTAACAGGATTGGATCAGATAGGTTTTTTTTTCATTTTAAATATATGTGCTGACATTGCTGTTCCATCTCTTACCTAATTAATCAGTCAAAGCATTTCAGCTGAATACTGCCAAGGCTTTGCCTGTTTATAGAATGGGTTAAAAATCAAATCAAGATAATTATAGACCAATATCTATTTAGTCCATTATATCCCGACTGTTTGAAAGGCATGTTTACAAACAACACTGTGGTAAACTTTCAAAGTACTATGTAATCCCCCCAACCCAATCTGCATTTAGATGGAACCACTCCTGTCAGTCTGTGCTAACAAAATTCACAGATGAATAGGTGCTTGCAGTGGACAATGGAAAATTAGTTGGAACTCTATGCCTTGATTATAATAAGATTTTTGACTTACCTGACCATAGTATACTTGCATCTAACCACAATTCTTTTCTCAGAAAAGAAAAGACTGAAATTTGAATTGATTGGCCTAGCAATAGCCCATATTAATGATGAAATAAATGTTAGCCACAATAGCAATAGCCCAAGTTAATGATGAAAATAAAGAATGTTATCCACAACAGTAATAGCCCATATTAATGATCCAAGTAAAGAATGAATGTTATCCACAATAACAATAGCCCATATTAATGATTAAAGAATGAATGTTATCCACATCAGCAATAGCCATATTAATGATGAAAGGAATGAATGTTATCCACAATAGCAATAGTGCACATTAATGATGAAAATAATGAATGTTATCCACAATATTTGCATCATATGCTTCACTTTACAAGAACAACATCAAGAATCTAGTATTGAAATCAATTACAAATGTTCATTGCAATACAACATTTCCTCAAAAAAGTTTCTAAAAATTGTTTGTTTTTTTTTTATACTAAGGAATGAACTCCCCAAAGCTGTTTAACCATTATCTTCAGAGGCAGTTGTCATTGTAAATATTGAAATGCATATGTTCCTATTTGTTCCTATGCATAACATAAACACTTTGTGCTTTTATGCTTAATGTATCCTAAGGGTCTCCAGGAAGAATAGTTTATTAGAACTGAGTTAGCATTATAATAAAGGTATTATTATTTGATCTCAATGGCAGCCAATATAACTGGTGGAGGAAGAACTCTTGAAAACCCTGGGAAGAACCAATGACCTACAAGAAGCTACTGGCAAGTTTTCTCAATAACCCATGTTAGCCAAGCTTGAGACTTTAACCCATGTAGATAGAAGTGAGATGGCAGTTATCTGGAATGGTGAGTGCCTTAGACCAATTGGCCCCTTTTAACAGAGACATTAACAGCTATCTCCAATGTAGTTTCATTAATCCTGTTTACCCATTTGTATGTGGAGTGAGTGTGAGATATTGTGTATGTTATGCACAGTGGTACCTCATATAAAGATTTATATGGAGTGATGAGTGTCTCAAATGAGTCTTGATGTGATCATGATGTGAGAAGATGTTTGTGGCAAAGAAAATTGAAGAGCTGTAGTTTGTGTTAATGATCTTTGTTAACTACCCATCATCCTCTTTGATGGCCACTCCAGTATTTTAGAAAGAGATAGTGATCACTGACTGCCAATTTATCTATGTTTGTGTCTGCTTCTGTGTGATTGTATGTTTATATAAAAACATAAGTGTGTAACAGTAAATTGGAACAGGACAGATAATTTTTAGACTTACCTTCTGTGAATTATGTGTGTGAACAGAAAAATGTGTTCCAATGTGTGTGTGTGTGTGTGTGTTTTGGATTTTTAACATAGATTTAAAACATTTTCAGTCATATTGTTATGATGTCTGCAGTATGTCAGTTTATAGAGATGACTAGCACTGGGGCATCGTGCCGCAGACATGTAGTACTATGTCCCACCCAGTCACATTATCCTGACACCTGTCTGACCAGTTGTAACACTAGCTTCTTAATGCTGAGCACCAAAAGAGGCATCTGCTAGTATCATTTTTATAAGTCTTTGTTGTGATTCTGCAGGGGTTTTAACACATGACCTCCTGCATCTGAGGCAGATGCTCTAACCACTAGGCCACTAGAGCAGTCGAAATATGTTCCAAAGACATGCACATGAACACACACACACACACACACACACACACACACATGAGGACAGTGGGTTTGGAAAGACAACTTCTTTGCAACTAGCTACATGTTTTGTATATTTAATTTGCATTTTTATAAGTTTATTTTAATAAATGTTTTATTTCATTATATACTGTTGTAATGTAACAGTGTGTGTAATAAACTTAACCTTGGTCAAAATCAAGTTGTTTTCAACTTGACCTGAATTATATATATATATATATATATATACACACACACACACACACACACACACAACTAATACATAATAGCTAAAATATTCTCAATGTGATTGGGTTTAATATCAGGATCATTATTAATAGAAGCTTGTTTTTTTTTGGTCTGGGTCAGGTTATTGGAATTCCCTTACAATTTAGCTTCTACTAAAATTTCCAATAAGAATTTCTTCTTGGATTGTATTGTGGTGATCCAACAAAAGATGACACATCAACACTTTACAAGCCATCAAATGGCACACATTCATCATTGGACTTAATCTGGATTTCCACTAAAATTTATTCTGAACTTTTATTATTATAATCTTGTGTCTGTAATTCTAGAACTATTGTAGGATTCACTTTGCAGTACTGTAAGTTCTATTCTTTTTACACTTCCACTTTGTATTCTTTGGAAATAAATTATTTGTTGACTTTTACAAAGCATGTTGCTTTTCACTCTTTTCTGTTACTTATTTTATGTGCATACACTCATAACACACATTAAAGAATGTTTATTTTGTCTTCATAGCAAGGGTTTCTTGGGCCAGACAACTGTGAGGTTCCCATCATTACTGCAAGTAAAAATTGCATACTCAACCTATAAAATGTCCAAAGATAGCCCTCTCCTCTTATCTTTTCCTTCTTACCAGTAAGTATGACTGCAATTAATATTATATATGATACAAATTCTTTATTGTTATATGTATTGTTATTTTCTAATTTTGGTAAATAAAGAAGATTTAGTAAAATTAAAGTTTTTTCATAGATCAAATGGTCTTCAGTGTTAACTATTAGCATGAGATTTGTTAATAGGACTGTTGTACAAAGCTGATTTCAAGTAAAATTATGTGTTCTTTTATGAAAAAAACTTATCAATAAGTACGAATAAAATTTCTCAATATTAGTGTATACAAATAATATTTATAAGAGTTATTTCCCTTTAACTAAAATTAGTTACAATAGATTAAGATGCTATTAATCTATATTAAGTGCTGCTCACCTGCAAATGCTAAAGGTAATTCATCATACTGTTTAGAAAAGAAATAATGAAAAACATATTTCACTTGAGAACAATCAGACATAATGAGCTTTGGTTTACTTATATCTTTTGATTACAAAATGTAAAAATAAAAAAGGGAGGTATTAACGTGGCATATATTCATATTTATAATTTTATATATTAATATTTTAATTGGGCAGAATTAGGGACTGCTCCAGTGGCCTACTGCCTCACTTGCAGGCAGTCATGGGTTCCAACCCCAGCCGAGTCATACCAAAGACTTACAAAAATAGTACTAACAGCTGCCTCGCTTGGTGCTCAGCATTAAAAGGTTAGTGTTAGGACTGGTCTGCCTGGTATCAGGAGAATGTAACTTGGTGGGACATCATGCTACATATTTGTGGCATTCCCTAGTGCTTGACATCTTCGTAAAATGACACACTGCAGACATTGTAGGGATATGACTGAAAAATTGTTAAAACTACATTAAAAATCCAAATTACACACACACTGGGCAGAATTAGGTACTTTATTATTTTAATTAATTCATATTTATTGCTAACTGAAATTAACCAGTTGCAATTATTGCATTGTTCTCTCTTTGCATACAGTTAGCTAATTAGGCAACCTTGACCCAGTATTACCTGCTCAAGTTTTGTCCACTCTGAACACTGTAGCTACCTGATTACTGCTCATGCTAATTTGTTCTATCATAGTACAAGTAATAATAACTTTCTGATTGGTCATTTTATAACTTGCCTATGTAAACAACTTGGCATGAAAAGCACATTAGTGATAAATAGCTATTCCAGTGGATTATTTCTATTATCAAGCTGGTCGAGGATTGCAAAAAGAAGCAGTGGTATTGCAAGGGTACTTAGCACCTGGTGACAAAACATAAAGTTGGCATTCCTTTACTTAGCACCTGTGACAAAACATAAACTTGGCATCCCTTTACTTAGTGCCCAGGGACAAAACATAACTTGGCTCCACTTTACCTAGTGCCCAGGAAAAAAAAACATAAACTTGGAACCCCTTTACTTAGTGCCCAGGGACAAAACATAAACATAAAAAGTTAGTGATGCATACTTTTCTATCTTAGTTTTCTTTGTTTGAAAATAAACAAACACAATGAATACAGTTTCTTGCAATACATAATAAATGTTCATAATAAATGTATACAAATATTGCACATAGGATCCAGTGATGCATATATAAAATGTCAGCAAACATTACTTTTACTACAATCGTTTGCATGCGACTGGATTGAATCTCACTTGATCACCATTTCTAGGATGCATCAATACCTTCGTTCTGGAAAAGAATCCATTTTTGATACAGCATTTAGCCTTATTGGAACTGCTGTGTGCCACATGAACAAATATCACCTACATTGTATTTAATTAGCATTCTATTTTCTTTTAGCATGTCAATATCAACAACAACAAAAAAACAAAAATCAAAGTAACATTTGCTAAACATTAATGTAATTAGCATATGAACACAAGAAATAAAGCAGCTTTGGTTAATAATGATAATAAATAAAATAATAATAATAACAATAATAATAATAATAATAATAATAATAATAATAATAATAATAATAATAATAATAATAATAATAATAATAATAATAAAAATAATAATAACAACAGTATGTACTGTAATTAAAATATAACTCAGTTGAAACATGCCCAGGAGAGTCAGGTTAAAAAAAATATCAATACGAGGCCTTAATAAAAACCAAATTGGTTACAATGAAAATAACACAAGGTCTAATTAAAAGGCAATTATAGCAGGTTTCTGCCAAAAATTTCAACTTGACTGGTCAGGGACCATTAAAACACTTAATAGATGGCATGGTGTCTATCACCCATCAATTGTAAAAGTAATTACTATTCCAAATATAGTTGGTTGCAAATGAAAAGAGTTTGGATTGGATGTCCAACTTGGTCTTTAAATGATTTCCAAACATCTTTTTTTTTAAGAAGAATATATATATATATATATATATATATATATATATATATATCTATATATATATATATATATATATATATATATATATATATATATATATATATATATATATATATATGTATATATATATATATGTATATATGTATATATATGTATATATATATATATATGTATATATATATATATATATATATATATATATATATATATATATATATATATATATATATATATATAGAGAGAGAGAGAGAGAGAGAGAGAGAGAGAGAGAGAGGGAGAGAGAGAGAGAGATGAAACAAACAGAATTGAATTACAATAGTCCAGTCTTGAAAGTGATAAGGAACACACAAGTTTTTTAGTGGCATCAACTGACAGATACTTGTGAATGGAGCTGATGTGTCTCAGCTTAAGATATGCAGCCCGGCATATGTTTATGACATGTTGATGCAATGAGAGAGTACTATTAAGAGTGACACTGAGGTTTCGTACTGACTGCTTGAATTCAATGTTGGTGTTGCTAATATTTATTGTCTGAGGTAAAGGATGTGAATGTGATCTGCTCAACTGGATTACAGACAGACAGACAGACATACAGATAGATAGATAGATAGATAGATAGATAGATAGATAGATAGATAGATAGATAGATAGATAGATAGATAGATAGATAGATAGATAGATAGATAGATAGATAGATAGATAGATAGATAGATAGATAGATAAACTTTGATGCAGGCCTTGACACCCTTTTAAGCCATAAATGTTGCACTATTTTGATTTTTTTTAAAAACTGAAATGTGGTTTACAGCCTCACCAATAGTCTGCATTAAGATATTTCCCATTTTGTAAATGTCATATGGTATATATAAGTTTCCCAATTTTAAATGTCATATTGGATGTGTTAATTCACCTTTTTTAAATGTCATAAGGGATGCATTAATTCACATTTTTTAAATGTCATATGGAATGCATAAATTTGCTTAAAACACATCCCAAGTTTTAAATATTACTTTCAATACACCATGCTACATCTGGACTGATTCAACAGATGGTAAATAATTACTGGGATGTATCAAAATACTGCTTTAGATAATCATCTACTTTTCAGCACTATTTCTAGACAGTACTATAAACAAAGAAATTTGGTTCACATTCAAATAATGGTATGTATCTGGGACAGATTGGGTAAGGGGGGCTGGGGTTTCAGACCCCATCACCCAGACTAAAAAAAAATGAAAAAGTACACAGAAAAATGTTGTCACTTTTCACTTGAAATGTAGAATATTTATTTATGTAATTCTAGAGAATGAATTATTAAATTCCAAAAATAGATGAACTTCAAAACAAACTGGCAACTACAATAAAGACCTCTTGAGCTCTTGAGCCCTCGATGTTTAAAATATGACTCAAATGATCTAGTGGAAAATGGATGTTTTAAGCCTCGATTTAAAATCACTATTTGTCTCATATGATTGGCTACATGATTTACTAATTTGAACAGCACAATAAACAAAAAATGCCATTTATCACATGAGCTTTGAAAGAACTTAATGAAACGTATTCATGAACCTTATTAAGATTCAATAAAAAAAAATTGTTGACAATATAGAGCTATCACAGAAGCAGATCATAACCTTGGTAATATCCAATCATATTCACCTGATATTTACAAGATCTATGAACCATTATAATCTAATTGGGTCAAGGCAATTATCCAAAAAGAAACTCAAATCCAATGAAAATTATCATTACAATAAAA